CGATTTTAAATTATAGGTATCTCTTCTATTAGCTCTTAAGCCTTCCTCCCAACACTATCAATTACATGAAGTATATTTACGTAACGATCCCTTAATAATTTGTAATTATAATTAAAATTAAATAGAATTTAATTTATACACCTAATTTTAAGCAGTTGACTTTGTTATGATTTTATTAATATGTAATTTTTTAAAAACTCTTAGAATCCCTTAAATCGATATAAAGTTCAAGAACCTGGAAGATTCCATCTTGGAATTGGAATCCTCAAACAGTCTAAGACACTCTGTTGTCACAGTTTTTTTAACAGGACACTGTCTCCAGAATGAACAGCTCAGTAGATTGAATTCTGTGGGGAAAATGAGGAAACACTAGAACACCTTACTGCGTGCGCCGAGACGACAACTATTGGTGCCATAAACTTTGGTACCACTAATATTAGAGATCGAGAACTAACCTCTGTAAAACCGTCTCAGATCTTTATTCAAAGCCTTAAAACTGCATGACGAGTTATAACTCAAGAAGGGGGGACACAGTAGATCTGTAACTTTTATATTTCTCCAATTTTTTCAATATCTTTTTCCCGAAAGAAATTACGTGATATTTGCCGAAACCTTTGTTGTTTAGTGTTTTTAAGTAAAAAATAGTTCTGTATTTTTTAATTATTTTATTTTTGCAGAAAATATATTTTATGCCAGCACGATTAAAAGTTACCTTTCACAGACAAGTTCAATATTACCTCTATAACACACTATAATCTATTTCCCGTCCGTTCATAAACTTCACTAATTAATATCAATAACCGGTCAATTTAGTTACAGGTCGGCATTTCCGATAACGACAGCGATGTTGCAAACTATGCAACACGCTGCCTCTCTGATGGAATCTCTATTTACTTAAACCGATTTTCTCTGTGGTTTGCTTAAGGTAGCATTGTTCTAAACCAGAGATATAGAGCTAGCCGGAATGAGCTTCAACGAGTGCCCATCCAAAGTTGAAAAAACTGAAAATTGTGCATTTTCGTAGAAACATTTTTGTGATTTTCTGTTAAGAAAAGTAAATAAACAAGTGTGTTTTACATAACTGATATAAGCTAAAGGAAAGAGCTGAGCCTATAGGCTTGGTGCATTCTCTTCCGGTGCTGCCACCATCGGAGAATATCGTAAACAACTAGTATATACAAATACGCGGGTTTAAATAGCAAGTATAAAAAATATTTAATTATTATTCCAGCTAAAAAAAACTTTTTAGATGAGTTCAACTACGTTTAAATACGTAGCGAGCATAGTTTTAATCACCGGTTTTGCTAGTGGGCCATAATTGGGGCTAGTTCGGCTATAACGAAAACTTTTAAAGGTATATAATTATAATTTTAGAAGATGTTCATAAAACATTTAATCACTAGTCGTTTAAAAAAAGTATACCATTAATATTGCCAATTATATTTTATCCTCTCATAGTATGTCTATTTGATTTTTTCATTCTGTAACGAGCACTGTGTTTACTCACTTGTTTCGTCGAACTACTTGAATCCATTTTTGGTTTGGATGAAATCGGTGTGAGAAAATATGAAGCTATAAATTGTTGTTTCGGGAGAGTTGAATATCCGGGAAAGTTGAGTTATTGAATATTATTGCATACAACAACGCCCTAATTACGCTCTCCTTTACGTGTTAATATTTTTTCGGCAATTTTATTAACATTTGAAATTGTCACAACACGACGCGCGACGTGCGACGCCTAGTTCGAATTCTTTTTCACTTATTTTTTACTACCCGAAACAGCGTTACATCACACAAACCTCTTACCTGAGTGTTTCATAATCTCAATAACTGCAGTAACAAAAAACTAAAATAGGTACTTAATTATTATGACAAAGCCACGATTTCAATACTATTTTCATGCAATGAACATGAACTGTCACCTGGACGGCGCGGCGTCGTAAAATACATAGGTACTGATAATTGATGATTTCTGCCGTTGAAGCGCCGCGGTCGGAATTTGTTCAAATCAACTGAAATGCACTAAGCCTATAAAACTTATAAATTAATTCAGTAAATTCAACCAGATTTAAATAAACAAAATACGAGACGCGGAAAAAGGGGCCAAAAAACCCTACATATAGTTCAATTTGCGAAGTTTGAGTCTTTCGTCACATATTGTCATTCTCTCTCTAATCCATGTATATCACATGAAATGGAAATTTTGTGTCAAAAACGTAAGTCCATTATATTTCTTACATCATACGATTATTTTTTTCGTTTTACATACGGATCACCTTCATTACGTATAAAGAATCGTACTTCCTTGTTTAATGTGCATGAATAGAAAAAGGCAAACATCATATTTATTGTATTACCCGCCGAAATCTAACAAAAAAATATCGCCGACTGTCAACGTTGTCGTTAAATTTTAACGACTCCGATAGTTTCCCGTAATTTTTTGTGGGATTTTCTGTGCTTATTTAGTTATTTGTGATTTAATTTGTGTTTAAAATGTCGTCCGGTTTTAGTGAAAAAGAACAACTGTTCATATTAAAAGTTATCGAGTATTTGAAACTCGAAAAAGATGGTGGAAAAAACCCTTTTACCTGTGTCGGCTGTTTACGATGTACGAGTTAATATGTTGTAACTAACTCGAAAATATTCACGTGTTTGATAGTCACTGAGGCTTTAGGAATTTCATGCTCGACTGTGCAAAGAATAAGTTCCAGAGGAATCGTGAAAGATAAAGAACAAAAAGCAGCAAAACAAGTCACAATATTCATTTGTCCCCTGGAATTCCTGCTTATAAGATCCATGAACATTGTCATTGTTTAATATTTTGTTATTAAATTTGCTATTGATAGTTTACCAGAGATATAAACAACTCATGGACCAAGAAATACGTGAAAACCAATATGGCGCCGAAAATGATGACGAAAGTTTCAAACTTCGCAAATTGAACTATATATGCTTATTCTCTGCATTAGGTCCATCATCAGACCGAAGGGAACAGCCATTCGACGACCGGTTTCGGAGATTTATCTTCATCGTCAGGCCGACTTTGCTGCAACCCTCGATCTGACCAACGAAAAGCAGAGAATAGCATTTGAGTACAAAACGTACTGATATAGCAAGTGCTAGAAGCTCTATGCCATCTAGCGGCAGCTGTGACAATCACAGATCGTACCGTCGTTTTGGCCCCTTTTTCCGCTTCTAATATTTTGTTTACGTTATATAATATGTTCTACCAAAGCCTTCTTAGCTCCATCTACGGTAACGTGGATGGAAGCAAATTTATGTTTAAATCAAGTAGGCCGCTGGTTTTAATTTTGGCGGTACGATCTTTTGATTGTCATCTACCACAGCTGCCGCTAGATGGCGTAAGAGCTTCTAGCACTCGCCATAGCAGTACGTTTTGTACTCAAATGCTATTCTCTGCTTTTCGTTGGTCAGATCGAGGGTTACAGCAAAGTCGGCCTGACGATGGAGATAAATCTCCGAAACCGGTCGTTGAATGGTTGTTCCTTTCGGTCTGATGAACCTAATGCAGAGAATAAGCATATATGTAGGGTTTTTGGCCCCTTTTTCCGCCTCTCGTATTTTGTTTACTTATATATACCCTACCAAAGCCTTCTTAGCTCCATCTACGGTAACGTGGATGAAGCAAGCATGTTCAACCAGATTTGTTTGAAATTTCAATACAAATTACTTTATTTTCAGGTAGGATTCTCCACAGATGTCCTCACAATCAGCACCATACTGTTCTTCCTCGTTATCAACATTCTACTCTTCGTCCTGAGCACGAAAGACCTCATCAAGAGCAAAGTGTTCTGGGCAGCGTTGCCTCACATCTGCTGGCACGTTGCCAACATTCAAATAATGGCAACGCTGTTCCTGAAGAGGAACGAGGTAACCTTGAGGGACAGCCTCGGCTGGGTTCTGCTCCTGGACTACTTGATTTACGTCACGTTGCCCTTGAGACTGCGATACTGTATCTTCTTGAGTTTTGGAACTTGTGCATCGTACGTGATTGCTTTGGTGGCATCATCCAAGTCGGACTTGCACTTAACTCAACAGGTGAGATCTATTGCTTATGTTTGATACTTGTTAGTTTAGTCATACAGATGCAAACTTATAGCTTGTTTAATGTAACGGCAGGAGCATTAGCGTCCATTTTTACAAGCTATTATATTATTATACAGGGAGGTCCGAACTGTATTCTGCAGATAAAATTAGGAAAAAAGGTAGTATAAATGTATGTCCTAAAATCCTTGTTTCGGAGATACAGGGTGTAGAAATTTTATTTTTATTTCGAGTTTTTCCAAACAATTTCTGAAGTAACGTCAATATTTGGATGCAAATTGATATCTGGGATACATGAGCAATTTGATTTTGATGTCAATATAACTCCTACTTCCTAAAGGACGCCACCTACATATTTTTAAGCGGTGTAAAGAGAAATAAAAGGACGAAAAGTTATTACTCTTCAAAACAGTTGAAACACATGTAGGTGGCGCCCTCTACAACTAGGGGTAATATTGACATCAAAATCAAATTTATAATAACAAAAAACTCCCAGACATGAATTTTCATCTAAATATTGACGTTACTTCAGAAATTATTTGGGAAAAATAGAAATAAAAATGAAATTTCTACACCCTGTATCCCCGAAACTAAGCATTTTAGGACATACATTTATACGAACTTTTTTACTTATTTTTATCTGCATAATGTGCTGCCGAAGTTCCCGGAATACAGTTCGGACCACCCTGTATAGTATTATCAAATACGTAAAAGGTATAAAACAAAATAAACTAAAACAAGAGCCTAACTATTGATAATTCTGTCATTGAGGTAACTTGTTTCGAGTCTCCTTTACTTTAAAAATAAGCTAGAAACCTTTTTTATTGATATATTTTCTTTTGCTTCTTTTTGCCTTGAAAGCTACTGTATATTTAGCGACTATGAAACGAATTAAGAAATCACGCACATAGGCTTGCAGTATCAGGTGATATCAGTGGATTTAATTTAACAAAAAGAAAACAAGGTTGTCAAATGAAAATGTTAGGAGATTGAAATGAACAAAGCTTTACTAAAATTGTTATGTTATCTGGCGTTCTCTGGAAAAATAAAAAAAGCGACAGCCATAATATTATATTACTAACATACAGATGCCTGAGCAATTCATTTAACTATATTTGATTGGATTAGGATAGAAAACCTGTTTTAATTTTCGTTTAGAGGCAATATAATGATTTATTATATTCATAACATTAATGTATAAGCGATACCAAATAAACTTTTAATTGCGTCATTGATGGCGCGATTGTTAAATTCATTGTTGCCAACAATGGACATATTCGGCCCTGGGCTGACTAACCGGAATTTAAATTTCCTGTTGGCGATTCAGGCGGTAGCTCTGCTGTAGATAATGTCACAGTTGTCACATTTATTTATTTATTTCTTGACATTTTGATTCGTTTTGACACTTTAGTGTTGTATTATGAGTTTTTTGGTTTAAGTGAATTGTGTATAGTGCTACTTGAAGTTAAACATTTTTTACTAGCCGAATTTTTTAGAACCGCCCTTAGTGCCAAGTGTACAAGAAGCCAAAGTAGCTTAACAGCCGTTGCAAAAACTCACCGCAACTTTATTAGAATATTTTGAACGGAAAAGCAGTAGTAATTGCCCTTTATATCTCTTAAGAGATTTTAAGAAGGTGAGTTTTGTTGATGGGTAAATAATAACTGTTTATATATTTATAACTGATTCATTTTTGTTTCTTAAACTATTTTGATTAAAAGAAATTATGTAAAATCGGCAACGCTGTATCGGTCAAGTCAAGTCTAATCACGCGACTAAAAGTTTATTTCCTTGTTAAAAGTTCATTTATAAAGTCTAGAGGGCAAATTTTTGAAAATCTAAAATATATCAACAAGATTTTAGTGATGCAAAAAGATTCTTATTTCAAATAATGTTAAACATTAAAATAAAATATCTACAGTTAAACTTTGATAATACTAAACATACAATAACTTAAAGTTAGTATTATAAGTACATACTAATAGACTTAACACATGAAGCGTTATAAAAGAAAGCAAAAGCCCATTGGTCTTTAGATACGTTTTGAATATGTCTACGAGCATGATAAATTGCTTTTCAGCATATCGATTTCGCTTTGAACTGGAATATGTTGATGACAGGTCACAATTTTTAGTCACAACAGTCAGTTTTAAAAATACTTTCCCAGTTTAAACCGTAAATTTCCAACTGTCAGTAAAACTGTTACATTCTAGTTTTTTTCTAAGTTAGTTGTCTAAGAATTAATCTAAATAAATAAAACAAAGTTTAGTTTTTTTTTCTAAAATTTAGGTTATGTAGATATTTATTATTATTTTTATTATTCGAATAACAGCTAGTTAGTTTATGAAGGAACCCCTGCTTTATCTTTACTGGATACTTTTATCGATATAATAAAGCTCGTTATAGTACGGTAACTTACTTTATAGCCAACAACTCCGGAATATTAAAAACTCCGAAATCTGAGTTTGTCTGTCTGCCTCGTAAACTACTGAAAATCAAGCGACAAAAAAATAAATTATTTTGCAAATAATTTTCTTAACTTTTAATATATTTAATTTTTGATGGTTATCTGTATTATTTATTTTACTGAAATTATTATTATATATATAATTTATTTTGTAATTATTGTAACAATTATATATTCGATAATTAGATATTCGACATAATATAATAATAATAATAATAACGTTTATTAAAACATTTTCTCTTGAAATTAAAACAGATACAAAATAGTACAGTACAATACAACATAATATGCTACTATATCTAATACACATTATCTAAGTACAATTTAACTAAGACTAAATTTAAATTTTAAGAATCGAAATAAACGTTAAAAGAATTACCACAATGTAATAGAATTACTTGTGTGTGAAAGGAATAGAATTTAATTATGACAATATATAATGTTCACTGGTACTTATGAAAATTTATTTTGTATATTTTAAGTTAACTAGGTCATTAAATATATCTCTACCTCGATCAACCATCCATTTGCATACCCAGAGTAACTTTTAACATCCTTTAGGAAGGTTGGTAAGATGTTATGTAATCGAGGTGCAAAAAACTTTGAAGATCTTTGTCCAACAGTTTTAGAGCATAAACTAGGATAAAATGCCTTATGTCTAGTTTCATATTCATGGTCAACATGTTCAATAGATATTTTCCCCTGATAAATGAATTTTAAAACATCTAGGCAGTATAGCTGACGTATATCCAGTAGATGCGCCTGCTTAAAGAGAACGTTTGAAGAGAAAGTTTTCTTTTTCAGCAGAATACAAGCTCTTTAAATGACATTCAGCCGCACCACCCCACCCTAGAATTCCATATGTCAAATGAGATTGTACAAAGAATGAGTACAGGATTCTAAGCTGTTTGACGTCCAAAAAACTTTTCAAATAATTAAATTTCGGCATCAATTCTCGCAATTTTTTAGTTACATTATTAATATAAATATTCCATTTAAGATGTTTGTCGATTGTAACCCCTAAATATTTTATTAAATCACATTCCGGTATTACATTATTATTGGTTATTTGTAATCTGTCCCAATCTGGTTCATTATTTTTATAAATAGAGAAGGATATAAATTTGGTTTTGTCATAGTATAATGTTAATTTGTTTTTGACAAACCAGGTATTAATTGTCTGAAAGTCTTCCTCTGCTAATCTTTTCAAATTCGACCAAGAGTTAGATTTATAAAATATCGCTGTATATTGCTCTTACAACATCCCTCATACAGTTTGGCATAGATTCAATCAAGTTTGATATTGTTGCTTGCGGTATGTTAAGCCACTCTTCTTATACTGCAACAATGAGCTCTGGGATAGAGGTTGGGGCTCTTTGTCTGGTACGAATCCTTCGCTTTAGCTCATCCCATAAATGTTCTATCGTGTTTAAGTCTGGACTACATGCTGGCCATTCCATAACCTGAAAACCGACTTCTGAAATGTAATCATGCACGATTCTTGATGTGTGTGCTCTCGTATTGTCATGCATAAAAGTGAATTCGCTTCCAATGTAGTCGACGTAAGGTACCATATGAACTGCTAAAATCTCCTCAATATACCTAGCACCAGTTAAACCTCCTCTCCCGTGCCGACGGTCGTCCCAACGGATAAAAACTGGGTCGGTTCGCGCAGTCATAGAAATTGTATCGCAGATCATGCAGAAACCACCTCCATAAGCAATTCGCTCCTCAATGCAGCATTCTGCGAATCGCTCATCTGGCTTCTGGAACACTTTTCTTCTTCGGTCGGTACCATAGAGGCATATTCTGGTCTCATCTGAGAATAAAACACATTCCCATTGTTCTAGTGACCAATTCAGATGTTCCGTGCAAAAGGCAGGCGTGTTTGACGATGAGCTGGGGTAAGTTTTGGACCAATTGCGGGTGTTTTGAGGGTCATGTTACTTTCCTTCAATCTTCGTCTTACTGTCCTCTGACTAACAGTCACTCCTCGTGTTTCACGGAGCTGTTGTTGCACCTGAATAGCATTAAGATGCAAATTTCTTAATATTGTTGACACAATAAAGTCATCACGATCCGTTGTATATTTCTTTCCACCAGTTCCAGGTCGCTTACGAAAGGATCGAGTCTCCTCATATCGTTTACACACTCTTCGAACCGCTACGTGTATCATATGCAGTTGCCAAGCTACAGCTCTCTGTTTAAATCCATTTTCAATTAAAGCGATTAGTTTGGCAGCTTTTTTCCGTGATGTATGCATTAAATTAAAACACTAATCAAACAATGAAACACAACAAATCAAACAATGAAAGAACAATGTGCAAATTTCGATTATAAAGTAACAGTAAAGTAGTAATTGCAATATTTGATAAGTTTTTTATTCTTATTGTCACCACAACACAAAAACCCCTTCATTTGTTTACCCGTTGCTACGCATATAAACGATAAGTACTTTGGATACATTTATACTCATATTAAAGCATGTTAAATTGTCTTTGAAACAGCTCATATTTTTTTCTTGGTC